AATTATATATATATATATATATATATATATGTATATATATATATGCATATATAAGTTATGAACCAAATCAAATGGAAAATTTGTTTTGAAAGAGTAAGAAGTCATCCGAACGTTGCTCGGGATAACCTAATCTCATTCAACCAATTTTTTATTTTTAGTTAAATAAGAGACCAGACAAAAATGAACAATGAAAGAAGAGATGCCGCACCAAAGAAAACAATACCCTTCCACCGCAGAAATAAACACCTATGAAACAATAACCGAAAGAAATTGAATTACACATTAAAATAAAATTCATTGTTTACTTTGTCTAAAGATACATTCTGAATCGGAAATCACGTGAAGGTAAATCCTAATGTTCTGTATGTTTGATAAATTTTCTCGATTGCATTTGCATATGCTGCTGTACGTATATCCAGACCTAAGTTGTATTTGTGCGCTGTAGCAATCACAGCTTTTGCTGAAAAATTATTTTTGTAGGGAAAGAAGAATTTTTTCCTTTATATGGAAAAAATCAACATTTCTTATGCTTTGCTACAGCAAACACTAATATTTTGTACATTTTATTATGATTTAAAATTCAAGGCATGCGGCAAATACTTTACCTGAACGTTGCATCGAATATTCCAAGCCTGAATTTACAATATCCTTTTCTGATGCACCTGCGATACGATTTCTGAATTCAGCTGTTGGCTCAATTTTTATGTCCTTGTTGAGTGATCGCTTCAGAGACTCCTGTACACTGTCTTAAAAACGGAGAAATTTAGACTGATGGTCGGTCAAATTTCAATAAAATCGTTGAAAATATCTGCTTCCATATTGATTGGAGGAAGGGAGGAGTTAAGAAAAATCTTGGAGCTTCATCACACATCATCATGGATAAAACTTGCGCTTTTCAACACAGAATGATTAAACTAACTCTTAAAAAGATGTTTTAGAAATTTAAATTCATTACAGGAAAAAACTGACCAAGTAAATGATAATTGGAATCTTTTTCATGTTTGAATGTCAAACGTCCGAAACTGACGTGATTCAAATTCTTCAACCATTCAAAATAAGAAACTGTAACACCGCCTGCGTTCACGAACAAATCCGGTACGATTAGACAATCACCACGGGCCAACAATATCTTGTCACCAGCTGGTGTTGTTGGTCCATTAGCTGCTTCCGCTATTATCTGTAAAAATATCGCTCGCTAATTTGGGACGATTGAACAAATTCTTAGAGTTTTTTTTTTTTTTTGTTGTTGTTTGTTTCCGAAGTGAGAAATTGCTGTCAATATAGAATCACGTTACCTTAGCTTGGATTCTTTCAGCATTCTCCTTGTGGATAACTTTCTCGCATGCTGCTGGTACGAATATATCGCATTTTTCGTACATAAGGTCCCTGAATGGCTCATAGGCTTTCGCCTTTGGAAAACCCTGGAAAGAACTTCGAATTTGTTGGAATAAATAACACAGAAATGGAAATTATGCATAAAAGTAACAATGTTTCCCTCATGGTGAATCACTTTAGTCGTAATGCAATGGTGCAAAGCGTTACACGTTTGTAAGCTTCTAGAAGATTCTTGATGTCAACTGTTTTAATTAAATCTATAATAAGAACGAGGAAAGGATACTTTATATCGAACCGATACAGCTTACCAAAACCTATCCTTTTCATTTTACCTAAATGTTTCAAGCTTTTAAATTACAACTTTTCAAATGAAATATGACTAATATTATCATTACAACTTTTACTTTTTACAACTTTCTTATCAGGATCGTCTCATTCAATACCCTTCCCTCCCTGAAATTTGATATGTTTGTTTTTCAATCGACAATTAAATATTTGAAGATAGAATACCTTGATAGTGCCATGTTCGATGAGATAGTCTTCCAGTTCTCGTGGATGAATCCCATCTGGATTATAAATGGAGCAATTAAACTCCTGTACACCAATACATTTTGCTCCAGATCGATGAAAGTAGCGAGTAGTATGCAAACCAACATTTCCGAATCCCTGAAATAGGAAGGCCTTATTAGAGGTGAGTTCAAACGAGAAATATTCAGATACGCTCCAAATATGACCTCATACCTATCGATCCTCTATTGTTTATTGTGATTTAAGGGTTTCAAAAGTTTAAATTATTTAGAATGAACAAATAAGAGGTAAAAGCTACCTGTACAATGAATGTTTTTCCCTCGTATCCAGGTGTCATTCCTATTCGTGACATATATTCCTCGTTATTCAAGAATACTTCCAGACCTTTCCATACTCCTCGTCCCGTAGCTGATGTACGTCCGTGTATTCCTGAAGTATACAATATAAAATCAGTAATTATGAGTGGAACTGAGTTCTGGAGAATAAAATGAAAAGAAAATAATGCGGCAAATTCTGCTTGATGTAAAACTGTTAAAAAGGTTTATACCTCCAGCTACGATTGGTTTTCCAGTAACACAAGCCGATGCGTCATTTTCTAGATGTCCCACAGTTTGAGCATATGTGTCCGCAATCCACCCCATCTCTCGTTCACCAGTCCCCATGTCCGGAGCTGGCACATCAACACCTGGTCCCAAAAATCCTTTTTTTGCGAACTCGACCGCTACGCGACGCGTAATTTTCTCAATTTCGTATTCCGTATATTTTTTCGGGTCAATCTTTACACCACCTGACAGATTTTTTAACTTCTTCAGCATTTCGAAATTCGACCAAAATCTGATTTTGAATTACAGTTTCAAATTGGATAGCACTAGCGATACTACTATATTATCGCCTATATTATCTAATTTTTTATGACATGCTAAATTTCAAAACTCGATTCACAGATGATAAAAATAAATTATATATATTAAGTTCGAACCTTTAGCTCCACCAAAGGGCACATCAGAAACAGAACATTTATAAGTCATTAGTGCAGAGAGAGCTCGTACTTCATCCTCACAAACATCTGGTGCATACGGATACCGCCTTTGGTAGGAGTACGATGTTCGCTGTGCTGTGCCCTCCAAGCTTCTATCATTTCGTATTCGCCGTTACTAAGGCGAATTGGAAATGTTATGTACAAGACCTGAAATCTTTCGTCAATCAATACTTCAATGATATTTCTTTGAACCACAATTGAAGGTTGGAAATAATGAAACCAGTTAGAAATTCTGGTGGAATGTTACACTACTAAACTCATTTCACGGTTCATTGGTTCACTAACTTGTAGCGGTAATATATCAAGCTATTTGAAAACTGAAAGGAGTAGAGGAAAGAAGCACTCTCACAATAATGCTTAACTTGAATTTTCATGTGAGGCTAATTTTGAATTCCCGCGCTTCAAAATGTAAAGTATCTTCCATATTTTCGTCAGTACTTTCCTTGCAACTTAAATTATCCGCAAAAAAAGTGCAAAATCACGAAACATCATAAAAATCATCTGTCAAACATGAAAATTAGAAAAAAAAGTAACGGATGTACAGACCACCTAATGTACGGTAAAGACGCTACCACATCCAGAAATTTTTTCATTCCGACAATGCCGAGATTGTGATCAGATCATTTCCTTCATCCTATTGTAACTTAAAGAATGGATAATTTTTTCCTAACTATACTTTTTTCTTGTACGGAAGTAAACTTTACTTGGAGTGAAACAATATAGGAAATCAATAAGATAAAACATATGAGTTCGAAGATACACTATAGACCTTCCTTAGTTAATCCCTCATTAAGGATCAAGTTACACAGATCAAATATTTCCTTATTCAATACAGGTAATTAACTGTTAAAATAAATGCTTCATATATTGCTGAATTCAGATATTAGTTTACTTATTTTACTTTGTTCGCAGGTTTGATGGCATGTAAAATCCCTTCTACTAAATTCTTTTTTTCTTTCCCCGTCATCTGCGGCGACTTTATTTCATCGACGAGTTTCGGTAAGATAATTTGTGATCCCTTATCGAAATAATACTCCACCATCTATAAAAGACATATACGATATGATAACAACCAGAATTGCATTACCAAACATATTTCAAGAAATGATTAGACGAATACTTTTTCGAATATGCTAAACAGAACTTATAGCTGTTTAAGACAAAATCATATCCAAGAAATGGTACTTTGAAAAAGGAAGGATTAATTTGTTCATCCATTGGAAGTTTCGAATCATTCAGTTGAGCATGACCACCCATTTTAGGTGGTGTAGCCAAACATCGTACGCCAACGTTGGCAAATCGCACTATATTCCGAGAGTATAATGATAGCATTTCTTCCTTTTTAAAAAAAAGATTCCTGCAACAAATAATCTATCATTCATCTTGAAATTAACAAATTCAATTTTTTTAATGCCCTTGTAAAAAAAAGAAAAAAAAGGCAAAAAGAGAAAAAAAAACGCAAATCTTTGATCAGTTCGATTTATTTTTCATTTCACTCGTTAATTTTATTTTTTGCTTTTATTTAATTTCTCTTTTTGTTCCACTCTTCCATTTTTTCTAGCCTTTTATCATATATCTTAAATCATTTCTTCCCTCAGCTACAATTATAAACGAAAAAAGTTCGTTTTTGTTTCCCTTTACTAGGAAATGAAACTTGTTTCTTGATTCTAAGAATGAATTTAATTTTCTATTCAAGTTAAGGAGAAAGGAAAAGAACGGTGCTTTTAAACATATAAACCATAATAACATATGAAATAAGCTTTAAGCAACCTTTCATATTTTATCTCATTACAAAGATAAAATGCAAAAGACTGTAACTAAGGAAATCAACTTTTCTGCACAACTTACAGTTCAGGGTTTTTCGTCCTCTCTACTACAGTAAGTTACAACAACCTCGTTGTATAACCAACAATCTAATAAATCAAATTTGTTCAGTATTTAAGTTAAAATTAAAGTAAGAAAAGAAAATGTACATACGGCATCAGCACTGCTAATAATTCATTTCGATGACATTTATGAATAAGCTAAATTGATCAAACACACTCATCAATGATGCGTAAAGATAGTAAAAAAAAAAGGAAGAGAAAAAAAACAGCGTTTTTCATCATTACGGGAAGTTTTAACCACAATCATTTTCAATTTTGAAAGAAAAAAAAACCTTAAATACAAAGTTGAACTCATACAAAATACAAAATAGATAAAGCGTAAAGTTGACAACGCTATTTAAACTAGGTAATTCCAAAAGTTTTATAGTTTTAAAGTTAAAGGCATAAATCGAAGAGAATCTACAAGGAATCATGGATTTTTATTTTAGCTATTCCATCAGCTTTTTTCAATCTTTTCAATAAATTAATTTTCTATCGTTAACTTGTTGAAAAACAAAATTTCGGAAAAAAAAGTTGTTGCATTTAGAAAGGCTTTATAAATAACATACAAAAATGAAATAACGTATATGTAAGCATACGATAATAAAAACGATAATCTTAACCTTTGAAGGATAAAGGATGAGATATGAAATGACCTTTTATTCAGAAAATTAACTACCAAGATTATGAGCAACGAACAAATGAAACAAATTTCTGTGCGATGAGTCAGAAGAAGTGCAAGACAATTTTTTTTTTTTTACATAGATGATACTTGTAGTAGTAGTAGTAGTAATAGAAATAAGCAGGAATGTTTATAAAAAATATTATTAAAGCAAATAAAAAAATGAAAGTTTAAAATGACTTCACAAAGATTTTTAACTTAGTCTTCTGAAAATGATTTGTATGAAATTTTTTCATTTGTGAATGATTAAAATAAATGAAATACAATAAAAGAAATGAATGATGGGTGGATATTACCGCCACAATAAAACTGAGAACGAGAGAGAGATACAGAAATATTTGAGGAAAATTTCGGCATCTAAGAAATGTTTGTTTACTATTTACTACTACTACTACTATTATTA